AGTACCGGCCACGTTGCAGAGGAATGGTCCAGGTATACACTCGGTCAGGCCTAATCCACTGTCGTCAAAACATAGCTATGGTTGTGGTGGCGCGCAACCCCGTCCCAGCGGTCATTGCCACTAAATAACTCGGCCCAGTACAAATTCTATAAATCGAACGGGTGATCTTAGTGACAGGACATTTTAAGACGTGGTGGAAATATTACCTGGTTGTAAATTGTGCAGCTCTATCTCATCGTCAGCGTCGCCTGGCTGGTACGATTCCGCAAGAGTTGATATTTTGTGAATCGCAGCGGATAAAAACTCTGCCATTGATATTACATGGTTGTTGATTTTCTCTTGAATTTTTGCAATATCCGCATCCTGCAGCAGCCACTTATTCTTTCTTCCTCTAGCGCAGTCCCTCCCTCGACTCAACTGAGTGAAGTAATTTGTTTCCTTCACCGAAATTGCCAGCAACTTACCTGAAGCATAAAATGGAGTATTACTATCACAATTTGGCAATTATTGTGTTTATTATAACTAAAATAAGAGTTCACTTCAAAATCATGCATAAAAATGAACAATGATGTTTAAAAGAAAAAAAAATTACGGTGAAAATGACGATTGTAGACGAATGAGTGGTGTCGTGCTTGCAATTAACGGATTCAAACGATCAATGGCTTTAATTATTGCGTATAATTTACTGATTATTTTGAGTCGATAATATATAAAAATACCTAAACAATACTGGAGGTATTGATTTTCAATCATAGAAAAACCTTATAAAAAAAATTATGTTAATTGTTTGCGTTTGCTTGAAACTCGTCCGATTTGAATAACAAATAGCTCAAATGATAGCCGGTATTTCACTGGAGCTTCCTAGATCATAATATATAGGATTTTATAATTATAACTTTTGAAATGCACCTTAAATTGAAGTAAGAATTCGAAAATAAATCAAATTTACGTGTTTTGATCGAGTAATACAGTAAATCGCATATATGCCGATGCTTGATGTGATGTCTGAGAGTGCATAACTTCAATTTGAGACCTCAATCGTGAGAGTCGGTCGGATAGAAGAGCCAAACAAACTCGGAAAAGAAAACCCTATTTTTAAAGAAAATTTTTTTGTAATTTAAAATAAATATATTAAAAGTAGGCTATATTATAAAATAAAAATTATGCTATTTTTTATTAATATTACCATTGACTATTGGATACTGAAGTTGATTTCATAGTACGTACATTAGAAAATACGTTATTCAGATGTAATAATTTTCAATAATTGAATACCAAACAGTAAATACGTTAAATATTCTGAAAATGTAATACAATCGTAGCGCCGCGCAACGCGTCGTGGGACATAGGCTTTTCTCTCTCTCACTCTATATTATATACATACATGTACTGTATATACAGGGTGGGAAAAAGTCTTGGGCCAGTTAAATATTATAAAAAGTACTAAAGGCATAGGTAGCTTCAATTTATTGACTCTCACAAGCGGCCTTGAATATAAAGTGCAAATCTGGATCCTCAAACTACGATTTTGGTGGCGGTTGTTTTAATCAGGACTTACGGCCATTCACAAATTAGACAAAGCCCAAAGCTCGTACCGCTAGTTCATTGAAATACAGAACAGGTAGACAGACAGATAGACAGACGGGCGTTCCAAGTAGACTGCGCTGTACGAGCACGATATTCCGCCATTTTTTTGGTGCGCTGTATGAGCACGCGCTGTACGAGCACGTAATCGAATGAGTAACCTCTTATTTTACGTAAATGTATAGGGGTAACGTCATAAAGCAATAACCGAACCAAATCTGCACATAGCAAATTGACGTGAATTTAGTGTCGATTTTTTTTTCTAAAATAGTAGGTCACTGTACTATATTGGAACTGAATAAATAATTGAATAATGAATAAATGAATGAATAATGAATAAATGCACGAACTAGCCTAGAACTGTTTATCATCGTAATTTATATTACAATTTTATTTTATTACAATAAGGTAATTTTATACATCAAATGTCCAGAAAACATAATGCCCTTGAATTTTTCCCCTTTGAATGTTTGCCCTTGAATTGCCTTTAATGTAGAAAAGTGCCCACCGCATGAAAAGGAAAGACGTCCAATGTAGCTTAGAGCCGAGAAGACAATGAATTTATCAGGGGGCTCTGTACTATTTTTAGTCCAAAATTTAAATAATTTTCTAGACTAGGTGTATATATAGATGAATAGGAGAATATAGATTGAATAGATGAATATATAATATATATATATATATATAGAGAGAGAGAGATGAATATTCCAAAAAAATAATACCAGAGGAAAATTAAACTAACCCCAAAAGCCCCAAGCGTTTCCTTGAGGCGTGATGCTACGATTAATGTTCCTATTCAGTGTTTCTTGACAGTTGTTAGTTCTGTTCTTCTGGCCGAACACGGAAAAGGCTGCAGGCGTCACCTTTTCAATCCATTCATCTTTGAAATATCTGTAAGAAGAGTAGTTATGTTTAATTTACAGAACTGAAGTGCTTTGAAGAATAACGTTGTTTGGGTATGGGGAGGGAAGAAATATTACCAATGGCCAAAAAGCCAAAGATCCCACCGTGCAACGACAGTTGATGCCTGGATCATGGATGTATTAAGATTGTGTCAAATATATATACTGTTTTGTTCTAAGTATTCTTATATTAATTTTTAATTTTAATGCACTCTAATAATATGTAACTGATTTCACCACAATCTCCATTTAAATACCATTTCAAATAGTTAAATGTTTTCCTCATAGAGTGCATCAGTATCTTCAAACCCCAATGGTTTCAAGACTAGCTCTCTGATTGGTCACTGATATGTATCACATGACCAACTCCTTCCTTCAGTAGAGTAGTGGCACACTCTTGGGCAAGTCCTGTTGCTATGAGGACTTAACATGCCTTTTCTCCTACATTTTCAAATACCATAAACCTCTATACCAACATAAATATTTAGCGCTGGCTTATAACTTATTATAAAGACAATTGAAGTGTTTTTTAACATCATATAGTGAGAAAAAGTGAACTTATCAACATTATAGCATTTCAGGATTCATCGAAGGGGGCCCCCAGTCTACGCATCAGTTTAATAACAAAAGGTTAGTGTATCCAATTCAAAATTACTATAATACAGTCCACATTGCTTTCTAATTAATATAAATTCCCCACAGATTGCTTATGTATTTTTTTTTCATATGCCCTATAATACTTGATATTTATATAAACAAATATTGAATGACCAACATGAAATCCACTTATAAAAAAGTCGATGTATGTGTTGAAGAGAAACTCCCAAACACATTGTTTTACACATGTTGCTATTTGCCACCCCCTTCAGGGTGAAAATCAGTCCAATAGCAGTTTAAAGAGGGGAGCCGAGTATTTTTTCTTGGTAGTCATTATGATGTATGGCCGTATATATAAATTAAAATAGGAATAATACAAATCCAAAACTTAAGCATTGGTAAGGTTTTTGTTGAAACAAAGAGTACGGTAAATGCCCATTGGAAAATATTGATTAGTAATATAAAAATAATAGTAAAAATATAGGGCCTATTGTGATTTGTTCAACATCAAGTATTATACAGAAAAATTAGTAGTCGTTTATATATTATCTTATACAGTGTTTACCACGTAAGGTGTCTCAAATTGATTACGAAACAAAAGGCTTAACGTACTATGACGAAATAAAATTATTTCCCGCTGAATTGACCCCAAGGAATAACGCAAAAATAGTTGAACCCTTTTCAGATACAGAGTGGTGTGCCAAAAACGAGTCACTACTAGTAGTTCCCATCTCGGAACTTTCAAATGTAAACATGTGTCATGTTATACATCACTTTAAAGGTATTTAATAGACAAAAATTTAGGAGAAACAGATATAAATTTTCTTTTTCCGTTTTAAAATTGCGACAGTTTATTTGGAAAACATTTATTCGTTTTTAATACTCTGTGTTTCCTATACCAATGCACTTAGCCCTTATCCGATCCTTATTAGCCCTTTTCTCACTCGTTATGAAATTTGCTTCACTGTGATATGCTACAAGTATCGGTTTTTTGAAATAATAAAATTCCCAAAAAATGGATTTTTGAAAATTTAGACTGCAAATGTAAATTGCTTAAAATTTTCAAATAGCAACATATGTCAAGTGGCACATCATTTTATATAGGGTTTTTAATTCATAACAACTTTGTAATTTACACTTACTTCGAATGTCTTTTACATTTTGTGTAGATAAAAAAAAATCCTATATCAAATGCATGTTATTTGGGTTTAACACTAAATTAAATGGAGCCTTTAGGGAACACCCTGTATATTTATATACATTTTTTCTATACTTATTTTTATACTATTTATATACAAGGTGAGTAGGTTTCAGAAAAACTCCTAAGTTAGAAAAAAATTACACATGTAAAATATGGATAGAGAATTAGAAATAGTTTATCTTTTGAGGGCTGGAAACGAACATTTGCGTGTAAAGAGCAAAAACCTATAAATAAATAAATTTTTAAATGTTTAATGCTGTTAACATTTAACATGCACAATATTATATACTTTTCTAAGAAATGAAGCCAAATACAAAGATTATCAACAGCAAAATGTAGACAGGGAAATAAAGGGTTACTTACGCTATCAGCCGCATAGCCTTTGATTTGTATTCATCATTTGTTGTTTCAACCAAGCTTTCAATTACTCGTAATGCCTCGAGAATTCGACAAGGCGGCAGAAGTGCTGTCACCATTAATCGCTTGGCGACATCACATCCACCAGGTTCCCCATGCTTCAGACCGATCTTTTTTGATTTTCTTTCTATTGCCTGTAACACAGCGTAACACATGTTTCAGGAAGGATTACCAATACATACCCAATCACCAAATCAGCTTTTTATTAGCGAAGAATGATTTAGGCATATCACAGCGTTCCTCACGTGTATTAATGTTTTATAGCTATAGTATATTTCATTACTAGGACCGAAAGTGGCATTTTCCGGAGCGCGCTCAAGTTTTTGTGTGAGGCGAAGCCGAACACAGGAAAACCCAATTTCACATGCGAGGCGAAGCCGAGTATGTGAGAGCTATTTTCACGTACGAGGCGAAGCCGAGGACGGGAATAATAGAGCAAGAGCCGGAAAATAACTTTCGGTACGAGTTATGAACGATACTTTTCATCACAACGCAAAAATACACAAACACAGAATAACAGACCTCAGTAATATTACAACTAGTTTATTTCTAAATTAGTTTTTAAACATCTAAATAAAATGAAATCTTTTAAAAGGAACCCTTCGTATATAACTTATTTCTCAATTAATCTGTTTTAAACATCAAAATCAAAAGAAATTCTAAAGGAAACCTACCTAACATTTAAGAAATTAGAAGTTTATGGTTATGTTTATTGTACAGTTTTCATTGTTGGAGACATTCACTCCTTCGTTTAAAAGTTTTTTTCTGAAGTTCTTGAATCGTTGAAACGTTTGTAGTGGTCGTGTTTGTTTCACCAACTTTTCTTACTTTTCTCTGAGGGCATTCTTCATCTTCTGAGTTGTTAAAAACATGATCAATATCAAAAAAATCGATTTGGCTTCCTGAAGGTGTTTTTTCTACAACATTTCTGTTTGTATTCTTAGCAGCTGTAGAACTCATTGCATGCGGATTTTTAAACAGTTTTCTTGACAGTTGCAATTTTCTTCCAATTGAATTTTCTATGTAACTCTCTGCGACATTAGAGGACTTCCAACCTCCGTGTGATTTAAGGGCAAGTAAATCCCCTCCTCCCTCGACTAGCATGGTGGCTGAGGTACGCCTGAGGGCGTGTGATCCAGTATAGCGCTCCGGTTCGTCTAACTTAAGGTATTCTGCTACCTTTTTTGGGATTGAACTGATTGTGTGACCCCCTACATTTTGTCCCACGCATTTACCCTTCCTGTAGCCAATTAAAAATCGGTTACTTTTCATTTGTCTGGGGCGCAATAACAAGTATTTGCGAATCAAATCACATGGTCTATATGGACAGTTGTCATTGGTTATGGTAAAACTGCGTTTAATGTGTGTTTTGTCATCGTTGAGAAACACGACAAAAAAACTGCCATTGTCTGTAATATCTTCTACTTTTAAATTTATAAGATCGTGGTTTCGACAAGCTCCATAAATACCCAGAGTTAGGATGACCTTGCTCAATAGCCATTCATCATCAGGAGCGTTAACCATGAATCTTTGAATTTCGTCTTCAGTAAAAACCTTAGCTTTTGTAGGTTGATAACCCACTGATTGACGTTTAAGAAATGCTAGGGATTTGTTAAATTTTGATACATCCAAATTTTCTTTTAATTTCAAACCACTCTTTATCATAGAAAATCTACTCCACAACGTTGTTGGTTTCATGCTTTTAGATTTCTCAGATAAATATACTAATAAAACTTCGTCACTTACATTCTTTGGTAAAACATTGTGTCCTTGGCACCAGTCCACAAACTTCCTGAACTCCTCTTCATACCTCTCTCTTGATTTCTCTGGAAGGAGGTTTTTGGTTATCTCTGAAGCTTTCTTTGCTAAATCGTCCGAAATGTCAGACATATTTTGGCCGCTTTTAAATACGCACTAAACTAAAAACACAGCAAAACAAGCTTGTTCCTGTTTACATTTAGATTGTCAAACAATAAAAACAGCTGATTCAAATCATTAAATTAAACTATAACAAAACACTAGCGCGCGTAGTGAATAAATGTAGAACTATTTGAGAGCGAACGAAAGTAAATTTAGAGCGAGGGAAAATCAGCTGATCGATTTTCCCTCGCCCTAAATTAGAGCTTGGGAAACGGCTACTTTCATTGATGTCAGGTGTTATCGAAAATAGTTACTTTCGTTACGGAGTGATGAAAATACTATTACTGCTTTATAACAAAGCAACTACTTTGACACCGAACATCCAATGTTTTCGCCTGATACAAGTTCTACACGAAGTGGACCTAAACAACTGTGATTAATAATGGGCAGCATCACTGGTGCTGTAAATAAATGTGTTAGGAGTGCATTGTAATACAGCATAACGGAATTAACATTGATTTGCACACATTATTTCTAATTTTTTTCAGGGTGGCAGATTGCGTGTATATAAATAAATATTATGCACTTAACTGTCTTCGAATCCTCATTGGTTTTGACACTACGGCCGTTTTGGAGATTACTCCATCGTCGGGTGTAGTCGTACACTAAACTAAAATACTGTTATATTTACATTTTTAACGGGATTTCTTCATTTTCATTGCGTCATCAGGCGGTCACCAGTTTTATAGCCGTGCACGTGCTTAAATGTTTTTGTGTCGTGTTTTCTGTAGGTATATGTACTATTTAATAATTGACGCAATGAAAATGAAGAAATCCCGAGAAATGTAAATATAACAGTATTTTAGTTCAGTGTACGGCTACACCCGACGATGGAATAATCTCCGAAACGGCCACATACAGATTGGCCAATGGTTTAAGGGTCGTTTCTAACATACAGATTGACCAAAGGTCCTAATGAGCAGTGACAAAAAATGAGGGAGGAGCTTACAGCAGCGATGTCCCGTGTGAGGGAAGGGGCTTGTCTATTCACATGAAGTGTTTGTCAACGCTTTCTAATCGTAACAGTCACAGAGGTGGCCAAACTCAAGAGACGCATTTAATTTTGTAAAACATAAAGTGTTATATCTATATATTAATTTGAAACTGTTTTTCTTTGTGACTACAGCTGAAATAAAACAATGCGGTATTCTAAGGCAAATAATCTATAAGTATAAAAGAGGATGTTTGTATATATATATATATATGTATATATATATATATATACTAGTGGCGTGTAGGGACATAAGTCCCCAAAATGCTCAATAATATAAAACAAATTATTCTAATATTTGAACAAACAAAGAAATAATTATCTATGTGTCAGAATAGATATCCCTGTATATATGCCATATCTTTTGTGTAAAAAACAGTTTGTTGTTTGTCTTTGTTGATGTTATTTTCAATAAATCATTTCGAATCACCACATAGATTTAACTCTGCTAAAGCAAGGTCACACTATAAAGGCAGCAAACATATAATTGGTTGTGAATAAATACTGGTTTATTAAGGTAGCTCGTTAATTATTTATTCAATGTGGATATTTCTTGTTAAACAAAAGTATATAACCATAGATTAAACATATAACGTAACTAAAAAGTCTTAATTATTATAGGTAACGTTATCCCTGGTTTTATATAGTACATTGCTGAACTTACTGGCATATAAGTATAATCCAAATGTTAACATTGCGTACTGGCTTGATGATAAATCACGATCAGCTGTATGAAGTAAACAAAATTAGCAGAAAATGGCTTCTAATGCTATTCTTATGGAGAACATTTTACGTTATATCACGTTTTCTGTTAACTTTATGGAAACTCTACTATTTTTCCCGAGTCCCTGGGGTCAAGACCTTTAATTTAAGACCCCTCCCACTTTTCTGCGACTTACCAGACGTCCAAAATTTTCTGGTAAAGATTTTGTCTTACAGAATTATATATAAGGATTTGGCAGTGATAAACTCGGACACCGCTGAACCGATTGCCACGAAACTTGGTACATACGTGTAGAATTTCATGAAATAGGTTTATACACCATCAATTTCGTGATCCGTCCAATCGGCTCCACCCCAGTGGCTCTGGAGTTTCCCATGTTAACCTTATGAGAAATGGAATTAATGAATCTTAACAGCTGTTTCAATTAAACAAGTTGGTTCTGTTCTATGATGTTCAATAGCATTAAAGTTACAAGGATTACCAACAGGGTGAGGCATTGGCGATAATCTTTGGTGTGAACCATTTCTACAACTACCTACTTGGCAAGAAGTTCATTCTAGTTACAGACAATGAACCATTGACAAGGATTTTTCACCAAAATAAAGCTCTACCACAGATGACGTCAGCTCGCCTGCTGCGATACGCTTCATTCCTCTCCGGATTTGATTACATCGTTCGATTCAAGAAGGGAAGTAGCAATCAAAATGTAGATTGTTTATCAAGATCTCCAGTCAAAACATGCAGTAGTTCAACAGATCAAGAAATCGGGGAAGAAGTGAACCAGCTTTATTCTCAATCACTTTTTCAAGTATCCAACCGTGAAATAACTTCAAAGACAATCAAAGAAGAAACCGCAAAAGACCATGAAATGAATGGAATAGTTCGAACCCTGAAAAACAATTCTACTGACTCAGAATACACCCTACTTGACGGTATATTGTTTCGCAAAGACAGGATTGTAATTCCAACATCTTTACGCTCCAAAATACTCGGTGAACTTCATGAAACTCATCTGGGAATAACCAAAATGAAGCAACTCGCTCGACGCTATGTTTACTGGCCAGGAATTGACGGTGAAATCGAAAGACTAGTTAAAGGATGTAAAAGTTGTGCCCTAGTGAAAGCAAGTCCACCTAAAGTGTCAGTACATCCGTGGAACCTACCTGAAAATAACTGGGACCGCATACATATAGATTATGCCGGCCCTTATGAAAATCACTACTTTCTTGTTTGTATTGACGCAAGATCCAAATGGGCTGAAATCGAAGTGTTGAAGGAAGCTCCCACATCTTGGCGACTTATGTTCAGTCTCCAGCATTTTGGAGGTGTTCGCAATTCAGACACACCCGTTCCCATAGTCCGATTATGCTGGTTCACGAACTCGTTCTAATAAACTTAGGCTTACACGTTTGTAACAAATCTCATCAAACTCGCAGCGTTGTTGCCCGAGTTACCGCGCTCACGGTCACATATTTAGGGTGTATTTATAAAGTCCCGCATGGGCTTAATATTTTCAAAACGGCAATAGATAAATCAATAAGATTTGGTACATAAACACCACACCTAAAAACAACGTTTTAAAGACTGTCAGTTTTCTGTCACATAATGGGGACATCCCGCAAGGAGTCAGAAGGAAATCTTAAATAAGAGCATAGGTTGATATTTACAGATAACCGTAGGCATATTCAACAACTTAGGCTAGGATTATACTAGGACGCTAGCGTCCGAGAGGCCAGCGTCCGGGACGCTAGCGGGGCATTAAATCAAATGGGGGCGATTATACTTTGGATGCTAGCGTCGGATGCTAAAAAAAGTTACCGAAAGCTCGAAGTTATTACCGTAGGTGGCATCGTAAAACCTAGGCCCGGGACCGATTTACTTTTTCATTTTGATGTCCCCAGAGGCCAAAACACCATCCGATCGTATAGATTTAAATATTATATATATATATGTCTGTAAACAACTGGAGTAACTTTTGATCTATTTTGAAGAAATTTGGTTTTAATGTGAAGGGTGGGATAAATTTGAATGAGTTCGTGAACCAGCATGAACATACCTTGGGAACGGGGTTAATGTGCTAAAAAAAGGGGTTTGTTATTTTTGACCCATAAAACTAAAAAATTCACAATTTCTCTCTAGATAATTTTAATGAGCTTAAAAACAAATAATTTAGTACCTATATTTAAGTTTTTTTGTACTGTTATTAGTTATGGAGAAAATTTAAAAAAATTGTATATTAAAATTGCCATGTTATTCTTATAGAAAATGTTGTTAAGTGTTGGAATTTGCTTGTGTATGGATATATTTCGATTAAACTTGGCCAATTTGTTTTATACTAAGCTAATAATACAGTATTTTACTAAAAAAACACACTTTATTAGCCCCCTTAAAACTTAAAACCTTGGTACTCGTTAAACCTAATGTTATTTAATGTTACAAAAAGTGACTAAACATTGAAATCAAATGACAGTCCGAGAGGCTAGCATCCCAACACAAATCACGTCATTTTTCGGCTCGAGGTGGGACGCTAGCCTCTCGGATGCCAGCATCCCGGACGCCAGCGTCCTAGTATAATCCTAGCCTTAGTAAAACGTTATTTTTTGTATTAAAGCCATTTTTCATTTAGGACACAAATGATTTTTCTTTTTGCTTTCTTTATTTGTTGTGCTCTTGGTCTTTAATGTTTACCAGGTTTTTAATGATTTATTTGTTGCCAAAAACAATTTAAGAAAATATATTTAATTATTTACTTACATTATTTTTTACGTAGTTAAAATGACTAAGTATTTGATTTGATAATTTGAAATATTATCAACATATTATTTTCAACCTTTTCCCATATAAGAAGGTGTCCAAACATTACCAAATAGGTAAAGGTACTACAGTAGCAAAATGTATATTTATAAACAGAAATAAAAATAAGAATAAGAAACGAAACACACAAATTTAAAGTGCGTAACACAAAAAAAATATCTTTATGCTTTTTTATTCTTTTTGTGCTCTTGATTTTGATTTTGATATATTTTATTGTTTTAAATTATATTGTAAATGAAGTTTGTATCGGTACTGTATAAATTCCTTGACACTTTGTAGAATATTAAATTGTTATTCAGTTATAGTAATTGTAACCAGTTCAGATTAAATTGTATATATATATATATATATATATGTATATATATATATATGTTTATAGTGTTTTATAAGTTTACTCTTTTTTTACGCAGTCTATCCAACTTTTGTTGGTCAAAGATGAAGGAATCAAGTATTCAAGTAAGTAAGTATATTTTTGTATTTTCTTTCCACAATTAAAATGTATAGGCCTAATAGACGATTTAGTACTCATTGTGTGTATATATTTCTCAATTTAAGTACCTGTCTTCCAAACTTTGTTACAAAATCCTAAATTTGTGTTAGCGAATTTCCCCTATAGGGAATAAGCTATTACCGTAGTACTCATGGTAAGACCTGGACCCGGGACCGATTTACTTTTTCGTTTTGAGGTCTCTAGATGCCAAAAACACCATCCGTTCAAATTCATAAATTTGATGAAATTTGGTACACGCGTGTAAACCTACGTTTCGAACCAGCATGATCGAACCAAGGGAACGGGGGTTTATGGGGTAAAAATTGGGTTTTCCCATTTTTGACACTAAAAACTTAAAATTTCGCAATTTCTTTATAAACCATTTTGTAGAGCTTAAAAACAAATAATTTAGTATATTGAAGCGTTAATTATGCGCCTAATGGTTACGGAGAAAATTCCGAAAATCTGTAAATTTAAAATTTCCATGTTATACTTAGAATAAGTAAACTGTTGTAGTTTGCTTGTTTATATACATATTTTAATCAAATTTGGAAAATGCATTCATTTCATACTAAACTATTATCATAAAAAAAAACCACCTTTTTACCCTCCCTGTTGCAGCAAACCTAAGTACTCGTTAAACTTTGATGATTCAAAACTGGACCCAGCTGTTCCGGATCATTGGGCTTTAAATAAATGGTCCTGGCTAATGAAACAGCTGATCTTAGTCAGTAACAAAGCTACACAGATCATCTCACACCATTCTATTATACACTCATATTTGGGTTAAAATACGCACCTAGGTGGCGTCCCCATATCAATTGATATTGATATTGATATATATTGAACTAATGTTATTTAAATAGGGAATAAATGTGATATTTTTACAGAGACATTTTAGCGTAAATCCAATCAGGCAAGTGGAAATTCGCTTAGTCTGCAGGTTTGCTGTGTCGGGGGTATTTTTAATTATAATTGACACTTTGTGATACATTAATTGGAGTATATACGAATGTTACTATCGTTTAAGCGATGTAATACAAGTTTACAGCTCAACATTTCAAATTTTGATTACATATTAAAAATTTGAACTCACGTATATTTTCCCCTTAGTAATTATGAAACATAATTTTGCAAACTTCAGTAGCAAAAAGGTTTTCTAAACATATACATCTTATAACAAAACTAATTTATTGGTATATCAACACTGATTGCAAGTCCTCTTCTCGATTTAAAGTGATTCTGATATTTTGATTATACTTTCATTATATTTTGACTCTATTCCAGTGATATGAAACTAGCCTAGGCTGTTTCTGAATTAAGGTACTTTTTGGCATAACCTTTAGAATAGTAGCCTATCATTTACATATTTGTAATTACTAACAATTAATTATTTCGATAAGTTTAAGGGATTAATCCCCTAAAAGATATTATTATGTTTATTCTTATTTAATAATCTGTTTCTAATTTTCAAATTATTAATTAAATCGGGGCCAAACCTAAAGCAATGCGATTCATTTTTAATACATTTATACATTATTCTATTTTTAACAAATGTGTTGCTTAACAATTACCATAGGGTGTAAGGTAAGTTTACTGATGTTGATAAGTATAACTACCATTTAATGCAACAGAAAAAAATTATACTTTACGCATTATCGTTGGTTATGAATTAAGTATAAAAGAATCATTTTTTAAAGTCAATCTTTGCTCGCATTATTTAGTTGTCTTAGAAGTTCATACACATCTAAATCTACTGATTGATATTCAACCACAGCGTCTGAAATTTTCTTCTGTGGAAAAGCTGTTGTCCAAGCGACAATAATAATGAACTAGCGGCCGACCCTCAGAACAATGGACTCAGGAGGACGGGCAGCAGGTAGGCTGCCGAGCAGCCCAGCCCTACTAGGGGTAGCGTTTCAGGGGGGGACGATTCCGGGGTGTACATAGGGGATGCCTTGCCGGGGAAGACCTTTCCGTTTCTACTTGTTTGAATTAAAATTAATAACATAATTAGTTCATATCAACTAGATTTTGATAAATTACTTGTCAAGCCCTTGGGGGGGAACGATTCCGGTCGCGGACATAGATTTTATACCAGCTGGTTGTCTGGTTTCGTGACGTCACGTTTAGCCTGGGGGGTTATGTTTCCGGGGGCGACCATTCCGGCGACCCGAAAAATTAAACATAAGACTGAACTTGTAACATGAACATGTGTTTATAACAAGCCATACAAAGTATATTAGCAAATTACAGAATGCAGTACAAAGGGAAAACATCAGTTGTTACTGTTGAGCAAAGATTACACAGGAGATGACTCGATGTATTTTCATCATTTTTGTTTAGGCCATACACACGTGAATTACAATTAAGTAATGAAGTTTTTAGGTAACTTAATTTGTAATTCATTGTCATAATGCTGAAAAAGAAAATAAGTATGGGCATAATACCAGGTATACACCTAAAAAAATCCTAAGAAAGTACAATAATAACTTATTTTTCAAAATTATTAAAGTTTCATGTTTTTGTATTCAATAACAATATGCGAAAACATAACAAATATTATTATTTTAATTCTAGAATGACCCTTAATCGTTAATTTGTAGTGAGTTTTATCTTACAATTTATTTTAAACAATAACCGTTAACTAAAAGGAAAAAATGTCATTTGTGGATGCGTGTACTTTATTTCTATGACAGATCATTATAGGAAAACGGTTCGAAAATTAATGATTTAACAATAACTAATGTCTAATTAACTTAACAGTAAACTAGATAACACGAGTCCAGGTAAACTGCAAAAAGTGATGCATTTTATAATACACAGACAACCAGCGGTTTTTGCCAACAAAGATGGCGGGTTGTCGTGTACGCCCCATGTTAACTCTCGTCAACCCGCCACCTCGCATGTAAGCGTCAACGTGCCACCGCGTCAACCCACCATCAATATTTTATGAGGTGGCGGGTTGTCGTGTACGCTCAATGTTCGGTGTCGTCAACCCGCCACCTCGCACGTAGACGTCAACCAGCCACCACGTCAACCCGCCACCACACTACAGAGGTGGCTGGTTGACGTGTATGAACACG